CTACTGATCCACCCAAACCTACTTCACCTGTTGATGATACAATGATGCTGGAAAATGAAACTAATAACGAAGGTTTTGGAAGAACCTTTGAAGATCTAAAGTTTGATGAAGAAGAAGAAAATTTTCTAGATCATATGTTGATGCTATGAAGCAGTACAAAATTTTGAATACGAAGTTGAATGCTATCATTCAATCTCAAGCTGATTTTGGGGGAGGTTCATCAGTATCAAGTCTGGAAGTTGATACTATGTTAAAGTTGATGGAATCAAGGATAATAAGCAAAGTCTCCGGAATGGTGAAAGATTCTTAGTCAATTATTTTGGAGAAGATTGACTACGCTGATCAAACTAATGAACTTCATGTTCAATCTCAGCGATCTGATTTTATGGGTGAGGTCAAGAAGGCATGCGAAGATGTGAACATGCAAATTCGTGAACTTTGTGAAGACATGCAGAGAGAAGCTCAAAGTGTTCAAAAAGATTATGCTTCAATCAATCAAAAGGTTGACATTATTTGTGATGCTGTCACCAAATTTCTAAAATTATATGAAAGCGTGAGTCCTCAACTTACTCATCTTTCTGAATTGGAAAACAAGAATTTTGGCAAGTTGATTGTGTTGTTAAAAGAGTTGAAGAAGTTGTCTGTAAAACCTGTGTCCACTTCGATTATCACTCCAGAATTTTTATCCGAAAAATTCATACAGTTCGAAGCTATTCTTCACAAACAATTATCTCCTCTTACACACATTTCAAGTCTTCTTCCCACAGTATCAGATGCCCCACCTGCTTTCACAGGGGTGCAAGGGGGAGAAAAGATTGATGAATTTAAGAAGACTGGTGAAGAAGTAAAGGCGAGCAAAGAAGATTCGAAGGTGGTGGGAAAAGTGTTCCCTTCGAAGATCCCAAAAGTCTCACAACCAGTAATTCTCACAATTATTTCACTGCCAACAACAATAGTTCCACTCGAAATTTTTCTTACCAAATCAAATACTGAGGAGATTCCAATTTCTAACATTGTTGAAAATGTATCTGATATGGGTACACATGTTTCTTTAAGTGTTGATACATCATTTCAAGGTATTCCACCATTTATTCAACACATTTCAACCACCACCACTTCACCTACTTTCGATAACATATTACGACAACCCATCACTACAATTTTCGAATCACAATCCACTAATCCAACAAAACCACACTCCGATGATGAAACAGATGGAGGAGGCTCAGGAGGAACATTTTTCGATTTGGAGTTTGATTCCGAAGAAGAGCAAATACCTGATCAGTGATCATATTCTGATGTCGAGGAAGCAGATTAAGATTCCCAATTGAAAACTCAATTCTTTCCTTCAACCACAAGCTGATTTAGGAGCCAAGAATTTAGTTTTTGGGATAGAAGTTGATGTGATTCTCAAGGATATCGAACTTAGAATGCAAAAGACGTTAGATGTTATTGATAAGAATAATGAGGTTTGAGTCAAAGCTCAAGTTGATTCGTTTGATTCAGAAATCAAGGAGCCTCAAAAAGTTGCAAAAGAACGCCATGTTATTTTTGTTCAAGATGTTAATAAAGTTCGTGAAGATGTCAATCAGAAGCTAGAAGAGTTAAAGGTGGATGTATTGAAAGAATTAAACACATTGAGTAGTAATTACGCATCCATTCTTTCGAAGGTAGACATCATAGCAGGAGGAGTTACAAATTTCATTCAGACTTTTCAGTTGACTATTCCTTCTATCGAATCCAAGGATAAAGAAGATAGGGCTCAATTCGACCAATTGAAGGTGTTACTTGTCGAACATAAAGAAGTTGTCTCAAAGCCTGCTCCACAGTCCTTCTTAACCCTTGAATTTTTAACTTTGAAGTTACATGGATTGGATCAAGCTATTCAGAAGACTGTTGCTCCAATTACAATATTTGCCAACATGTTGCCAATTGGTGCCCCTCCTGTTGTCATAGGGGTGCAAGGGGGAGAAAAGAAAATTCAAGGTGGCAAATCTTCGAATATTACAAAAGGGGTTGAAAAGTCGAAAAAGATTGAGACGATTGTTACTACTGGTCAAGTAACGAAAGTTGTGTCTACTCAAATCCCAACACCTATAGTTTCAAAGGTGAATACAACTGAAGCTATGAAGACAACAAGAAGACCCATTCTGAAGGGAATTGTTATTGGTTCTTCTATTGAAGGAGGAAGTTCAAGTTCGTCTAAACCAAAACCTTTTGATGATGATGGAAAAGGGAAGGGGATTTTGATTGATAATGGAAAAACAAAGGCAATTACAAAGCATAATAAGACTTCATCAAAATGATCCACGTGGTATGGATAAGGGAGATCCAAAGAAGTTGTACAACTATGAGAATATTGAAGCAAGAGTTGCTTACAATCGCATGTATGCATTTAACAAAAAGCCTACGAAAAGCTATTGTATCACTAACAGTGATATGAGTCAGCTTGATTTTCTTGTGAATGAAATGATGTTTATCATGGCTCAGTACAAGATTGTTGAGAAGTTCGACAATGACGATGATTTTATCCATATGAAACTTAGGTTTCATGCAGTTTTGAGAAAAGAACCAGAAGAAATATGGTCATTAGTGAAGATCAAGAAGGTTATCAGTATAACTAAAGATGTATTCTTTGAAAATAAGATACAAAATTTTCGGTATCATGTTGTAAGGTCGAACAATCAAGTTTGTGATTTCTCAGTTGCTGATTTTCTTCTAATGAACTTGAATGACCTGATTCAAGCTGCATTAATTTTGAAAGACATGGAGGCTTCGCAACTTCAAGGGACTGACAAAGATGTTTTGAGGCTTGGTCTTGGCCATATCAAAATCTTTATAGACAATTACTATGATTGTCTAGCATTAACTGATGAGGAGTTAGCATCAATAATGGGAAGGGAAGGGAAAGTTACTATGGGATTTCCGAAGACCCAAGTTGAACTGACGAAATATGCTAATGGAGAGATATGCTTAAAACCTTTTGGATTAGTATTTGCAAGAAAAGATATGTATGGCAAAGCTAAGAGGTTTTTATTTCAAGAAAGTGAAGTGGAAAGGTACGCTACAACTCAATATACGAACTTCGTTGTTTGTATGAATAATTGCAAGAAGAATAATGAGTGGGATAGAACTAAGCTGAGAAAGATTTTGACATGGTATGCATTTTGCTGCACAGATTCTCATGAATTGAGAAGTTCGACACGATTACAAAGGAGGAGATTGTGCAGTCAAAATATCTTGTAATATGTCGAGGTCTGTGTATTTGTTAATTTCGTATGTTTTCTATGTATTTACTAAGGCATTATTTTAACGAAGCGTAATGTCTAGCCTTAGTATTTTATTTTTATTTTTTTATTTTTATTTTTATTATTATTATTATTATTTTTTTACTTTCAGCCTCTTATAAATAGGAGCTGAACATAGAGTTGATAGTATAGTTTTCCCATTTTTACTATCATTTTGTACTCGTGTTCATTGAAAGTAATATGAGTTGAACCAGATCTTATTTACTTCTTGTGTTCATATTACATCTTTTCACTTTGATTTAATTCTAATACTCGATTAAAATCTTCAACAAAAATATTATCTTAGGGAGGAGGGAGTCGTTCCCTCCCAACCCACTAAACTCATTGTCACATCAATTTTTGTCTCTTCTTTTTCTCCATCTTTCCCAACTCACAACACACGAAAATCCTATCTTTTTGAACCCACTCAATTAAAAAAAATAGAAAACAACTAAAGTACATGTTTTAAAACACATGGTACAAGAGAAAATAAGAAAGAGATAGTAGAGAGATTTGATGAAATACGTTAGTGAAATCAATCAACCCACTCGTTGAAGCGGAAGCGGTACCGCCAATAACTATTGCTAATTAATATTTTACAATTGATTGTTTTGTATTTTTTTTAATTGAGTGGGTTGAGTGGGTTGAAAAAGACAGGTTTCCTTGTATTGTGGGTTGGGAAAAAAAAAAAAAAAAAAAAAAAAAAGAAAAAATGATGTGGAAGTGGGTTCACTGGGTTGGAAGGCAATAACTCCCTCCTCCCTTAGTAGGAGAGTTTGAGATTATATGATATGAAATTCACCCTTTTTTTGTCTTAAGGATAGCTAGATATTTACTTTTATTGTTTATACCTTTGATATGGGTTGAAGATTATTGATAACTATATGATAGAATGTTTTCATGTACTAGGATTTCACGTACTTTTGAATTTATTTACTTTAATCAAAGTATAATATTATCTTCAACATACTATATGAGGAATGTTACAACCAAAATTTATTATTTATTTCATAGTTATTTACGATCTCATACTCATTAGTTTGCATGTGGATTACAATCATGGGTGAGAAATGTTTCATAGAAGAAGCTCTTGTATACTTGTATAAAAGATGTTCCAGAATTCCTTCCCTTTCCCCTTCCTTTTCCCTGATGATTCAATTTTATTTGTTTTGACACCACGGACATTGTGATTTGGGTTCACTAATTCATCGGAGGACAAAGTGGTGGCCAATATACGAATGATAGTATATATAAGTCATTGGAATATTGTAATCGAAATGACATGACAATGGGTATGGGTTAGGGGTGGGTATGAACAACAACAACAACATACAAAATCATCAAAAAAAAAAAAAATGCCAGTTTATATACTTATTCATCGAAAAGAAATCCACCTAAGCTGTTTCCCGTGAAACCTAAAATAACCCTTAATAATTCTTAGTTTAAAAAATTTATAAACCACGTATAGTATTATTGAGAAAATAAGATATAAATGGTTAAATTGCAAAACTAACCAAAGATATTAGTATTCTAATACTAGAAGCTTAAGATAAATATAGAGTGAACCGTAAATTACAAAGAGTTATATACGTACCAATACCCTTTCTCATTCATACCTATTTATTAACCCTCTTGTCATTAGTATACAACTTACTTGCGAACAAACGATTGTATCCCAAGAAACCAAAAGTAGGCTTAAAAAACACTTAAGATTTACAGTGATTCATCAAATGTGGTTGTTGTCGATGTTGACTCACCATATGCTAGTGGGAACTCTTCATAGTATTTTGCATGTCCAAAATTAGTTTCGACCTTAGAAGGAACATGTGACGACCGAATGCCTTCTAACTCAACAAAAACTTCTTTCATTGTTGGCCTATTTTTACCACTCATATTTAAGCATCGCATTGCCAAGTTAGCTATGGTCAATAGTTCGGTCCTACAACCCTCCTTAACAACTATCGCATCAAAAATAGACATCACACGACCTTCTTCCATAGCTAACAAAAAGTGTGTCGTTAAACTTTTATTTTCACCAGAGCTAGTGAAGATGATTGGCTTTTCTCTTGTTAATAGTTCCAACAAAACTACTCCAAAACTATAGACATCACTTTTTTCGGTGAACTGGCTCGATTGGAAGTACTCTGGATCCAAATAACCAAATGTTCCTTTGACTAAGGTAGTTAAATGAGTTTGATCTATCGATACAAACCTTGAAGTTCCAAAGTCTGAAATTTTTGCTCTATACTTTTCATCTAAGAGTATATTTGTGGTTTTGATGTCCCTATGGTATATCGGAAAGGAGGTTGCTGAATGTAAGTAAGCAAGTGCTCCTGCAACATCTGTGGCGATTTGTATTCTCATATTTAAAGAGAAAGAGAACTCATCGGTTTCATCATGAAGAAGGTCATACAACGTACCATGCGAGATGAACTCGGAGACAAGCAGTGGAACCTCAGTCTCTAAGCAACATCCAAGTAGTTTGACCACATTTCGATGATTGACTTGTGAAAGAATGACCACCTCATTAATAAATTGTTGTAGTTGGCTTTCATCAACCATCTTTGATTTCTTGATTGCTACAATCCTTCCATCGGTTAACATGCCTTTGTACACTGTACCTTGACCTCCTCGACCAAGAATTCTGTTCTCATTAAAATGGTTAGTTGCTTTCTCCAACTCGTTGGAGCTGAAAAGTATGGTTTTGTCAACTAAATGAATATTGGTTGCTTGTTGTTGCTTAAGAAGTAGACCACCATTGCGTTTAAAAAACCTTTCTTTCAGCTGCTTGGATTTAGTTTTCTTGATTACTTTATACAATGCATAGATGAGCATTGTTGAAAAAACCAGCCCCATGCTTATGCTTACGCCTGAAAGAAGAAAAAGACAATGCCAAAAATTGATATATGAATCTAAAAAAGTTAAACGATTATATATATATATATATATATATATATATATATATATATATATATATATATATATATATATATATATATATATATATATATATATATATATATATATATATATAAAACGGCAAATCTAATCTTAAATACATTTTAATTCTACATACGATCACAATCAGAGTTGAACCATCAACCTCATGGAGAGATGACAACACCTAACTATACCAATCAATTGAGTAATTTAGAAATGATAAATGCATCCATTGTTCTTGTTTTCAACATTGTATAATATCATTTTATTTGTAAACATCGCCAAAAAGATTTCTCAGAATGTTCGATCTTATCTTTTAATATGAAATACAAATACTAATAGGTGTTCTATTCAAACCAAGTGATTAGATAACAAAATAATAAAGATAATATGAATGTAATATATAGGAAAGAATTAATATTCAATGATGAGCCATAAAACCACTGAGATTGACCTTTTTGGACTTGCTCGAATTGAAGCCGAACATATCAGGTTATGGCTGAAGTATTTTGTATGTATGAAACGATCACAAAAATAGACTAACGATTTCTTATTGTGGGGCTTCTTGCTCACCTAGTTATGACTAAAGATTTATGCGAGAGCCATTGCATGTATGAAACGATCACAAAAATAGACATCCATCAAGATGAAAATAGACAACCATGCATCAAGAATATGGGGATATGTAATCGCAAAATGAGAAAATACCATACCGAGTATAACACCTAGTGACGTTTTGCTGCTTCCAAAACCATGGCTACGATTTGTTTCGTTAGAAAGACAAGTAACATTCCAGATCAGTTTCAAGTCAACATTATATACTGGGTCAAAGATGCAATTACCCCCAGTACGACGACACTTCACACATTCTTCATGTTCTAAAATCACATAAACATAACAGATCTAGTAAGTATTTATCATGAACAAAATCATTAATACAAAAGTAAACAAAAAAATTCATCCACCTTTGCATCCACCCTCTAAATAAGGATTTCCTTCATATGTTGCACCACACTCACACCTAATAGACTCTGCGGATGTATTGTAACCTAGATCAAATACGGTTCTTGTACGTACTGATTGCGAACAACCTGGTAATTGATCGTAGTCGTGGGCAGCAAGAGTCCACAAAAGTGATATGGGAACAAAAGTGGATTTATCAGAAAAGCTTCTTCCTTGAACGTATGAATTCTTATCGACTAAGTACGCAAACCCACAAACTCCTTTCTGTGTTTCCATGTCTGTAAGATCCAAGCTGAATGACTTAAGATCATAAGGGATGATTGTTTGGCAACAACCGATGCCAAAGCAGTTGTTTATATCGCTAACAGTGTTATTGTGGCAAGTAGCTGAACATCCGGTGACAACAGCCGACCCATGGTCACTGATCATGAAAGCGTTGCCACATCCCTCAACCATGAATATGTTATGCAATTTGGCAAATAGGAAGGGATTCCTACTACGACCAGGGTTGGCTGTAAGAATATGACTGCTATTCCAGACTGGATTCTGGCAATTAGAGATCTTGGAGACATTAACAGTGATCGTTTGTTGTTCCAAGTTTACATTCAACACCTCCATGTTGTTGAGTGCAGAAAGATATGGATTAGAGAAGTTACAGTCAAGAGTGTACCATTCGTTGAGAGAACAATTTGGTCCAATTCCAAATGGGTATGGAATCCTGACATTCCCACATGTATCTTTGCATCCTGGCTTGGCGTAATCAAGAGCTTCTGTTAATGAAATCAAGAAAAGTAAAACGAACACATGAAACTGCTTCATTTTGCTAATAATGATCGGTGGTAGAAAATAAAACATTAAGTCCAGATAAGTTTCCGTGCTCAAATAACCAGCGTGATTTGATTTTTCACCGGTGAAAAATAGTAAACTATGGTGCCTTTATCATCAAAACACCTCGAGTTTAGGTGTCTTAGTTTGACGGGAAAATAACCCTTTAATTTATTTTAATAATTTAATTTATTTTAATAATTTCACATGTATTTTTTTCTTTTTGCATAATAATTACTAACTACTATACGTGTGAGAATCATGTTTTATATAAGTTTATTTAAAAAAAAAAAACTAAATATAAAATTCTAAATATTTAAAAAAGATAAATTTATAAGAAAAATGAGAAACTAATGATTTATGAAAATTAAAGTGTTTTTTATCTTTTAAATTTAAACATATAATCCTTCTTAATAAATAAATAAATAAAGAAAATTAATGAATCTTTAATTTGGTAATTTTGAAATTAGAAGAAAATTTTATTAATGAAATTGATATGTATTTATTATTAAATATAAATATTATCTACAATTTAATAAAATGAAAAAAAAACCATAAAATAACATGTGGAATAAAAAATAATTTAAAATAACCAGAAAATTATATGTGTTAAAAAAAATGAGAATGTGACATCTTTATTTATTTGAGTGGATTTAAGTTATTTTTGATATTTCTATGGGCATAATAAAAATTAAAAGGCACAAGGACATGCTTTTGTTGAGACAATTTATTCAATACAATTTTTACATAATCTTAATGGTTTAGATTTTAAATTTAGGTATTGCTTCTTTGATTATAAAAAAACATTCAAACTTAATTAACTCCTCTAAAAAGTAATCAAATATTTATATTTTATTATGATTTCCATTACATATTATAATCATATTAACTTTCTTGATACGCGTTTACGAATGCAAGACCACTGTATTTCTATACAAATTTCAAACTGACTAAGTTCGTCATTTGATTTTGTATTTATATGATGATTGATGGAATGATAGAAAAATACGACAAAGATGCAAAGTTTTTTCCACTTTTTAGTAAGGGATAATGACTTAAAAGATAATATATTTTTTGATTTGTATACATTTGATCAGTGTGTTTTTTTTCGTCTACATTTACCTTTTAACTTGTTAAATTGTACACATTCAGTCCTTATAACCGGTTATTTCAGGTCAGCCAGGAAAAATAACTTAATAGGGTAATATATTGTTCATTTTGTACACATTTAGTCCTTAATATTTTTGTACATATTTAGTCCTTAACATTTTTTTTTGTTTCAAGTAAGTCCTTTTTTGTACTCATTCAGTACTTATGAATGATTTCTTTAGGTTTTTCTCATAACATCTTACGTGAGACAATTATTGATGAGTTGTTTGGGGTTGTTGATGTTTATGTTCAACATGATCTCGACTGGTTGGTTGTGTAGGTCTTGTGGTTTTGCTCAGGTCTTGTATTCCGAATGTCGTAACTTATTCATACGATATCAGATTTTAACGATCTTTATCCACGTGTTCATTTATTCATTAAGATTACTCCCGTTAAATGTAATATATTTTACTTACAATTTTATAAAAAAAAAAAACATCCATACATGCATTCATAAAAAAAAAATATGGACATGGGCAGACGTAGGACTACATAATTGGTGTTACCGAGATGAAATAGGTGTTGTTGGTATATGAAAAATAGCTATAAACGAAAAAAATCGAAATTACGAGATCGTATGGACATAAAGATCGTTCGCATGTATATAAAGCTCGTTTACATTGATATAAAAATAAATTCTGAGATCGTATGAAGAAGTTATGACGTTCAGAACACATGACCTAAGCAACCAAGTAGTGAAGATCACGATGGACATAAACATCAAAAGGCCCAAACACTTCATTAATGAATTTCCCACGTAAGATTTCGTGAGAAAAAAAAATAAAGAAATCAGTCATAAGTATTTAATGAGTACAAAAACAAAAATAACTTATTTTGCAAAAAATATATATATATATATTAAGGGCTAAATGTGTACAAAAATATTAAGGACTAAATGTGTACAAAGTGAGAAATATACTACCATATTAAGTCATTTTTACCGGCTAACCTGAAGTAGCCAGTCATAAAGACTGAATGTGTACAGTTTAACAAGTTAAAAGAGTAAATGTGGACGAAAAAAAAAATCAATAACTAAATTTGTACAAATCGAAAAATACATTAACCTTTTAAGTTATTATCCCTTTTAGTAATAAGGAAACTTTATTATCCTTTGTATTTTTCATTATTTTATATTATGTCACGTTAAATAGTCTATGTCGTTCGTGTTTTTGCACTTTTGGTCCAAAATTGTTTGGACTTTTACTAATAATGTAATTTATTTATTTAGTTTTTATGATTTTGTTCAAAAAAACTATTTTATTATTTTTAGAAAAAACTGCAAAAAATAGTCTCTTTGATATGTATTTTTGAAGCTAAAGGTTCAAATCACCATAACTTCATTTTGAGCAAGTTTACTCGTGGTTTTGGTACTTTTAAAAACTGAAAATACTAAAGTATATTATGATACATTTTTTTTATGTTTGTTTATATTAATTTAAATTTTTATTAATAATAAATATATGACCCACTTTTCTCTCTCTCTCTCTCTATCTCTATCTCTATCTCTATCTCTCTCCTTTTATTCTTGCTCAGGTGACTTACCCCCATTTCTTTCCTTTTATTGTTGTTCTTCACCTGATAGATCATCCTCTTCCTCTAAAAAAAGCACACACATACTCAAATTTGTACCTTGGAAGCAGGGTATTTTTGTATTGCCATTAAAATGGTGTGATGGTTTTTTTGTCATCTCCTTATAACGATCTCTCTTGTAAGCCTCGTAATCGCGTCTCGGTTTTTTGATATTCATTTGGTGTGTTTTTAGAATTTCTGGGTTTTTGATCTTCCTATGGGTTTTCTCATAATATCTCAAAGTGTACATGATATTTAACTGAGTCTCTACAATGAGCTCCATGAGATCATGAAAGCTTTAGCATTAAACTTCATAGATTCAAAATAGGTTTTGGGTTGCTACAACTCGAAGGTAAAAGAAACGTTGGTTTGTTCTTGACTTAAATGTTTCCGGTGATTGGGGAGTGGAGGGTGAAGCGTCAGCGAGTACACGACTGAAACAAGAGAAGATAGAAACAGTGAATATTATTTGTGATTCATATATGTGTATATCGATGATGAACAATATGGATGGAATCCTTAATCGTATCTTGTCTTTCATCTGTGTTTTATTTTCCCTTAATTTCCTTTATTGGGTTGCCTGCATACACATGTGGGAAGGAGAGAATTAATTTATTGGTATGATTTTGGTGTGTGTAATAGCATTATAATAGTCTTATCTCTTATTGTACACGTGTATTTGATCTAGTCTACAGTCAAGAAATGTTAGCATTCATATAAGAGCAAATATCTATTTCTCTATTATTCCTCTGTGTGTGTGTGTGTGTGTATATATATATATATATATATATATATATATATATATATACAGATCTTATGAAGATATATACAAATTTACAACATCACCTGGTATCAGAGCTCGTTGTCTTAATCTAAAACACATCCGCCTCCTAAAAATCCTTTTCTTTCTTTCTTTCTTTCTTCTCTCTCTCTCTCTCAATGGATTCAAATGCTTCCATCATTCTCAATCTCGCCACCATAACAAATGGCTCTCCATTAAACTTTCAAATATCAACCATCACCCTTAAGCTGGATCGAAACAACTACTCTCTTTGGCGCACAACAATTATCTCAGCACTAGAAACATTTGTTCTTGAGGATTTCATTCTGAATCCCAAACCACCGACTGAAACAATTGAGGTTGCTGCTATTCAGGTGACTCCCGCAACCGCTAGTTCTCCAACTGTCGTTTCTATTCCAGAGACTACAGCACCGAATCCATAATACTCTCTCTGGAAGAAGAGGGATCGATTTGTCCTCTTGTGGTTAAAATCGACACTATCAAATAATCCATCTACCCTAGTTGCTCGTGCCTCATCCTCTCAAATTGCCTGGCAGACGCTCGAGAAACTCTTCCAAGCCCAAACTAGGGCATGTCAAATGCAGCTAAAGCACCAACTTCAAACCCTCAATAAGGGATCCATGACCATGATTGAGTACATTGAGCGGAAGCGCTAAATTTTTGACTCTTTGGCAGAAAACTTCATCCTGTTCATGATAAAGATCTGATTGGCTATATTCTTAATGGCCTTGATTCATCCTATGGAGCATTTCTGACTGCCTTCATGATGAAATCAGAGGCTCTAACTATTGATGATCTTGTTGGTTTTCTGTTACAGGAAGAAGCGAGGTTGGAACAAGAACATTATCGTCTTGCGTCAGTCACTCCGACATATGTTGTTGCTCTCAGCGTCAGCAGGTCTAATCATCGTCAAACTACTCCTCACCATGGCGCAAATTCAAATTCCTCCAACTCTACTCAAAATTTCGACTCCCGCAAGAAACGACCCGTTTGTCAGTTGTGTACCAAACCTAGTCATGAGGTAATCGATTGCTGGCAGCGTGGGAATTAGACTGATTTCCTATCATGAAGACTAAATCCGAGGAACAAGCCACGACAAGCTCACTTTCCACAACAACACAACCCTTCCACAGCTGTTGATCCTTCATGGTATTTTGATACTGGGGCTACTGATCATGTCTCTCCCGACATCACAAAGCTCAACATTGCAGACACGTAAACAGCGGATGACAAACTACAACTGGGCAACGATAACCATTTAACTATTTCTCACATTTGGCCTTCCTCTTTGCCTAATCTAAAATTGCCTAATGTGCTTATAGTTCCTAAACTTACTAAGAATCTTCTTAGTGTTTTAAAATTGACTGATGACAACAATGTTTACATGGAGTTTTGGCCTAACTCTTGTTCTATTAAGACATTTTAGGGACAAACGGTACTCCAAGGGGATAAAAGGAAGAGCTATATCAATTACCACCCCATAATTTTCATTCATTTCCCAAAGCATTCAATAACATTTGTGTCTCTCTATATGGATGGCACAAGCGGCTGGCTCAC